GCCCACATTTTTGTAGCCAACAATAGCTGTGTTTATTCTTTGCTGTTATAATGGTTCTGTTCTCAGAACTGATTCAGGCAACGGTCAAATTCGCAAAATGTGCACTATTTACATTACTATATAACAGTTCATGGAACCATTCCTTTTTATACGTCCACATTCATAATGTGAACGTATTATGCCGTCGCCCCTGTCTGTGTGTGTGTGTGTGTGTGTGTGTGTGTGTATGTATGTGTGTGTGTGTGTCTGTGGTTCGCCTACAGGGCGCAATTCTTCATGGATTTTCTTCAAACTTGGTATACTTATTCCTTATACCCCAAGGAAGATCCCTATTGTTTTTGGTGCATGCCCGACCCCCCGGGGCAGAGCCACGCCCATTTCTAGTATTTGTTTGTTTGTCGTCTACAGGCCACATTTCTTAACTAATAATCTTGAAACTTTGCATACACATTCTTTGTACCCTAAGGAACATCCCTATCGTTTGGGGTGCATGCCCAACCCCCAGGGGCAGAGCCACGCCCATTTTCTTTTCGTGTGTCTTTGTGTCGCCTACAGGGCGCAATTCTTACTGGATTTTCTTCAAACTTGGTATACTTATTCCTTATACCCCAAGGAAGATCCCTATTGTTTTTGGTGCATGCCCGACCCCCAGGGGCAGAGCCACGCCCATTTCTAGTATTTGTTTGTTTGTCGTCTACAGGCCACATTTCTTAACTTATAATCTTGCATACACATTCTTTGTACCCTAAGGAACATCCCTATCGTTTGGGGTACATGCCCAACCCCCAGGGGCAGAGCCACGCCCATTTCCCATTTTCTTTTCGTGTGTCTTTGTGTCGCCTACAGGGCGCAATTCTTACTGGATTTTCTTCAAACTTGGTATACTTATTCCTTATACCCCAAGGAAGATCCCTATTGTTTTTGGTGCATGCCCGACCCCCAGGGGCAGAGCCACGCCCATTCCTTATATTTATTTATTTGTTTGTCATCTACAGACCGCATTTCTTAACGTATCAACTTTACATATTTATTCCTTATACCCTAAGGATGATCCCTATTGTTTTTAGTGCATGCTCGCCTCCCCGGGGCAGAGCCACGCCCATTTTTGTATTTGTTTGTTTGTCGTCTACAGGCCGCATTTCTTAACGTATCATCTTGAAACTTTGCATACTTATTCTTTGTACCCTCAGGAACATCCCTATCGTTTTGGGTGCATGCCCACCCCCCAGGGGCAAAGCCACGCCCATTTTCTTTTTCTATGTGTGTGTGTCGCCTACAGACCACAATTCTTAATCAATTGTCTTGAAATTTTTTCATATGAATTGCTTATACCCTAACGATGACCCCTATTGTTTTTTTACCCCCAGGGGCAGAGCCACGCCCATTTTCTTTTCTTTTTATGTCTGTGTGTCACCTACAGGCCACAATTCTTAATCAATCGTCTTGAAAATTTTTCATATGAATTGCTTATACCCTAAGTATGATCCCTATTGTTTTTGGTGCATGCCCGACCACCAGGGGTAGAGCCACGCCCATCCCTTATATTTATTTATTTGTTTGTCATCTACAGATCGCATTTCTTATCGTATCACCTTGAAACTTAGCATACATATTCCTTCTATCCTAAGGAACATCCCTATTAGTTGTGGTGAATACCCAACCCCCAGGGGCAGAGCTACGCCCATTTTCTTTTTTTATGTCTGTGTGTCACTTGCAGACCGCATTTCTTAATCGATCATCTTGAAATTTTTTTTAGACTTATTCCTTATAGCCTAAGGCTACGTTTTTACACTTATTCCTTAATCCTAAGGCTGGCCTCTATTATTATTTTTGGTGCATGCTCAACCCCTTGGGACAGAGTCACGCCTAATGTTTGTGTGTCTTGTGTTTTGCCTACAGGCCGCAATTCTTAACCGATCCTTTTGAAATGGGGATACCTATTCTAAACGTCATGCTTTTAGAATAAAGACATCGATTGTTTTAAAATAAAAATTGTGTTCTGTTAATGTGAACGAAACGTTAAACTGATAGCAGTCCTACAACCCAGTTTTATTTCACAGACCCTCAATGCAAACTGGACCATATCAAACAAAACAGGAATGTGGACGTATATTGCTGCGTTAGCGATGCTCTTGTTTGTTATACTAGAGTTCTTCAAGTTGTCAATGATAGATATGACCCTACTAGAGGAAACGAATAGTCATACTGTTTATAAATAGCCTGCATTACTTGGGTAAAAGTTGCTGGGGAAAAAGTTAATACTGACACATGTGCAGATAAGCATTCTTAGAGCGGATACAGTTGACACCACAGAAATTTAACTGTGTTGTCCAGATTGGAACTCGTTAACACTACACAAAATTTTATTGTCCTGTTCTCGGAACCATTCCTAGCACATGTAAAACGAGGTTAATGACAAAAAAATTATTCATTCCGATTTAATTTTCATAAATAAGAAAATTTGGGAAATGATGTTGGATTTAACATCTTACCGTTTTGCACCAATTAGACTAATGAAGATTGGCATACGCTATGCAGTGTGCTATGTGGGAAAGGTTACTCTGACACTGGCGCTACTCTTTATTTCGATTTCCAATCTTTTTTTTCCGTCCAATTCGTATGATCAGATACTTTTCCATGTCAGGTCCTCTGTCCTGCACCACTGCTATAGGTAAACCAGATTGGACAATCCAGAGGAACTTTTGGGCAAACACTGGGATTGAACCTGTGACCTGATTAGTGAGCCGACAGCATACACACAGAGCCACAATGGCTAAGTACCTGGTACAAACAATTGTGGTCATGAGTTTTATGTATAGCCCTGTACATGATATATAATACTGTATTTAATTATATAAAGCTGAGAAAGGGAAATGAGTATTCTTTTGACCTAAATAATTAAACATGGTATATTAATTATAATGATATAGGCTGGTACCACCATGCACACTAGTCATTATAGTCATTACATACTGGTGGTTAATCATTAATCAAGTCTTTTCTGTTCTTATTATAGTAAGTACAGAAGGACGGCACTACACCAAAACAAAATAGACAAAATAAAAAACAAAACTTGCTGACAAGACATACTACATAGACATTGCAAGAAATAAACAACAAATATCAAATCAAATATAAACAACAAGAATATACCGTAGTTATATAATTATTGTCTAGTTTCTAATCTCAATTATTCAGTCTGTAATAAAGCCTCTAGTTTCTAATCACAATTATTCAGTCTGTAATAAAGCCTCTAGTATTTTAGTGTATCTATTAAAATTACCAATCAAGGTGATACAAATGAAAGGAAATGAAATGGGTTTTAACGTCCTACTTTTCTGCACCAACTGGGCTAATAAAGATGAGCATTAGTCATACAATGTGCTTTGAGAGAAATTTTGCCCGAACAGTGGCGCTACAGCCTACTTTTAATTTGCATTCCAACTGTCAAGGTGGTTTTTTTTTTCGGGAATGCCAATGTGGAAATGGGACCTCATTTTTTTGTAACATCCGAATGACTAGATACTGTCCTTATCAGGCCCTCTGTCCTGCACCACTGACAATGGGAAACCACACCAGAAAATCCTAAGGAACTTTCTTGGCCAGCACTGAGCCACTGTGATAGACCATGACATATACGTGCTTAGTCATTGATATTGGTAGTCTGAAGATTGAGGTAGCTAAATGCCTCAAAATTTTACAATGTTTTTTCAAATCATGACAAACTCCAGCAGTTCAAGTATTGTAATTGATTCAAAATTGTTACTGACACCTGAAGTCGTACATTCCCCTATTGATATTTAAGATATGACACACATCAAGGGAATGATAATAACTTAGTTAACACCTATAGTTAAGTTCTATATAATATATAAATAAAATATTTATTTTATCTTAGTCCCAAGATGTACTAGCTGTGTTGAGTGGATGTTAAACCCCATTTGTTTCTCACTTGATTGTAGTTTTTTGATGTATTGTTCAGGGTTATATTATAAATAAATAAATAATAAGTATGTTCTAAATCTTCCTTAATCAAAACTTGAGATGAAACGAAACAAATAAAATGACTCTACAATCTTGGTTTATAATTTATGGTTGGATGGAGAAGAACTATAGATTGTTTTTTTTTATCCCAGTTCTTTGTCAGTTAAACCTGTGAAACTGGCAAGTATGTCCGGTCTTTCAGAATGCAGATTATATGCAAGACTGCTTTCCTGTTTATATTTGTAGTGCACCTTCATTGAAATGTTGTATATTTCTGTCGACCATAATCCTTCTATTGGTAATCTACAACATCTTGTGAACACTCTAGGACTACTTTTGTCATCAATCTTTTTTAGAATTTATATGTGTTGCTTACATAAGTGACATGATTAAAGGAGCTAAATTCCTAGTCTTTGGCACCAATTTTAAAATTTTCATTTTGTCTTAAATATTGGAAATCAGAAGCACATCTTTTCATTGTAAGATAACATCAATGTTGATTTAAATTGACTAATAAGTAGTGTTTGCAATGTCAAAGACTGTGGATGATATTGAGTTAGAGACTTGCCTCCCTTAAACCTATTAAATCGAATATTTCTAATAATTCTGATAGTTATTGTCCCTGGTAACTTTGTAGAATCTTTTGAACGCTCACCTGATCTGTTTGAAATTTAAATGCTTTATCTAGATTAGTAAAACAGGCAGCCTATCGGATGTCAACAATTTCTGTTAATTACTTCGTTGCACTAAAAAAGGAAAAGTTGTCATGATCATCGTTGCCTGGCAAACTAACTTTTGAAAAGTTAAATACATGCATACTAATATACAATGTATGTAAATGATAGATTGTATCATGACCTCATATTAATCTCCTTATTATAGAATGGGCATGGAAGCAATAATAAAGAATGTCACACCTAAAGCCATTAAATTGATCATGTGAAGAGAAAACAGGTAGATAAATCATATCACATTTACATATTAATTATAAATATGAAATATTTTTTATATTACAGGTAGTAGTTTAGTTGAATGTGGTGAAACATTTAAACATCTAGCAGAAGTAAAATACAGTTTAGAAGATACTGTCAAACAGAATTTCCTTGATCCCTGGGTACAACTTCAAAGCAAAGAGATCAAAGAAGTCAATGTATTTATATTTTTATATATTCCTTTATAACTCACGATTAACTGTCCACAGGAGATTCAGTATGGATTTAAAAATACAGATTTTATAAATTCATTTTATTAATTGTATAACAGGCTGTGTACTATATAAGTATTTGGTTTAAATATTTTCATCATAATGACAAATTGTAAAAATAGATGACAAAAAAATCAATGATTGCTGATAATTAATGCAGTAGAAACTGAATAATTCAATATTTGATATAAAATCTAGGTTCAGCATCTCATATTATATTTGGGTTTGAGTAAAATTTACTGCAGTCCCCTCTCCCCAACCACCTAGTGTATACATCTCTAATTGGAGCTACGATGGCTCAGTGGGTAAGATGTTGGTTTGCTAACCTGGAGGTTCCATGTTCAGTCCCTGCGTTGGCCGAGAAAGTTCATCAGGATATTCTGACGTGGTTCCTCCTTGTCTGGCGCAGGACGGAGGGTCTGGCAAGGGACAATGTATCGGTGTTCGGATGGAACACAAAAACGAGGTACACATTGGCATGCACTTAATAGATCCCATGACCGTTGGAATTCTATATAAGAGTAGGCTGTCCGGGCAAAATTCCCCTTATACATGTAGTTATGGCACACCATATTACGCTTGCCCGTCTTCATTAGCCCAGTCTGAGCAGATAAGTAGGACGTTAGACCCCATTTCATTTCATTTTATATACAGCCCTAATGCATTTATTGGGTTGTAGCTAATATACATACATGTCGTCCTAACAGTATCAATGTAATATTCTTCTATATCTTGTCAACATTTCTATTAAATGGCAATCATTACACACTTCACTGATTACATAGTAATAAGAAAATCATTAGCCCAGTGAAGTGGAAAATAACTAGTTAAAAATAAACAAACCCAGTTCAATATAGTTTTTATAAGCTTGTATGTTTTTAAAAATAACTTCCATCAGATAATGATTAGAAATTGAAAGATAGTCGCACTTTGAAATATGCCCACACAGTAGCTATATCTTGATAAAAAGATATTTGTAGACAGCAAGTTATCTGAAAGGAATACTTGGATTTTTACATAAGGATCCTTTATTTATGCCTTCGAGAAATCTGATCACAAGTTTTTCCGACCATGTATTTTTATCTTTGGAACAAGAAGTCTTAGAAGTAGAATTCTTCCTTTCCAATCTCCATGCTTCACACCAGGGTTCATCCTGCAGCTGAAAAACAATAGGGATCATCCTCTCACAGTCCTAACTAATAACTGTGTATGCTTATGCCCATTATTGGTTGATGTTAATAGAACTAGCACAGACAGAACACAGTTTGATAGAAATAGGTTACATGTAGATTACACTTTGGGTTTGAATCATAGCGTCACATGATCAGAACATGCAGGTTTGTTCAACTGTCATTCCCAAGGGCCTTTTTGGCCCACTTGGGTTGAACCCAGGACATTCTTGTAAGTGAGTCATGTGCCTTAACTACTCAACTTCCTGAAGTTAATGTAGTGTTAAATTTCAGCACTATTCAATACAGTGTTAAATTACATATTTCATCACTACTTAATACAGTGTTAAATTACGTATTTCAGCACAGCACTATTTAATACAGTGTTAAATTATATATTTCAACATTATTTAATACAGTGTTAAATTATGTATTTCAGCACAGCACTATTTAATACAGTGTTGAATTACATATTTCATCACTCTTTACTACAGTGTTAAATAACTTGCATGTATTTCAGCACAGCACTATTTAATACAGTGTTAAATTACGTATTTCAGCACAGCACTATTTAATACAGTGTTAAATTACATATTTCAGCACTATTTAATACAGTGTTAAATTACATATTTCAGCACTATTTAATACAGTGTTAAATTGCATACATGTGTTTCAGCACTTTTTAATAGAGTGTTGAATTACTTACTATACACTGTTGAATTATGTATTGCAGCACCATAGAAAGAAGTTATCAGGAAGAAGATTGGATTATGATTGTAAAAGAAGAAAGAAAGAAAAAGGTAATTAAATTTAAAACACAAATGTAGAAAATTTTATAGCATTAAATCACTTCAAAGTTTTCTTGTTGGTATATAAATTCCTTTATTATTATTGTACTATTAATTTTGTGTTAGAGTTGGGTTTTTTAGTTTGAAAGTTAATTAGTTTTAAATTTGTAAGTGTGTTCCTTATTGTATCAACTTAATTACATGTAGCTTTGCTTTTCCTTCTACACTCACTAATTTACATTTGCTAAATAATATTAAAATTCCAGTCATTTTAGTAAACAAATCCAACACACTTAATTCAATATCCTTGTTTCTAAATTACATTTCCACAATGCAGTTTGAATCAGAAATTATGGACTACTTATTGTCTACCCAAACTTGTGCATATCAAAATTATTATTTTATGTCTTCAAAAACCATTTTAATTCAATTCAATTTGAAAAATAAAATTCTTTATCTGAGTTTTGAAAGACTTTGGGACATCTAAAATCCTCAAAGTTCTATTTTTTTATTTTTATACATTGAAAATGTGAGCGTTGGGCATATATTATCGTCGCTCCTGTTCATACAGACATCCATCCACAATTTGTTTGTGGACACTCTACAGGTCACAATGTTTATCTGATTTTGACAAAACTTGAAATGTGGTTTTATCTCCATGGATTATGGCCCCTGATTGTACGAAAAATCACATTTTTAGCTTGTGGTCCCTATAGAGGTCACAATTTTTACCTGATTTACAAAAAAAATGTTCCAATATATCACTGTTACACCAAATTGATGATTGAGTTTGAATTTTGTGAAAATCGGGCTGAAACTGCTGCACAAAATGGCCGTTCCCTGTACGCAAAAATTGTTAATGTATGTAATATCAAAGTTGCGGACCCTCTAGAGATCACAATTTTGATCTGATTTATATGAAAAACATGTGTTTATATCACAGCGATCTTGGTTCCTTTCAATATTTGCGCAAATCGGACCGTAACTTCATGGCTTATGTCCTTTGATTGTACTAAAAAATCTTGTAGGTTGTTCTCTATCCATCTCTTGCAAAATGTGGTCGTATCTTGCATAGCAACCGCGGTTCATTTTAAAAATGTATTGTAGAAAAAACTTAAAGATACATAAAACGTTTTCTAATACCAAATTCCAAATACTGGTATGATTTATCGAACCTAACACAGAGCCTTTCACAGCGTGTATAAATCCGACAGGCAATATTTAACGTAAGAAACCAACAATCGACACATTGAGATATGTTTTGAATAGATGAACCATTTACTTATATTTGATTGATTAACTGAGTTTTATTTATGTTATATTTTGTTCTATTATAATATTATTTCATTATTTTCCCCCCTACAGGCGGTAAGTGTCTTCCATTATCATTCTCTCCTTCACCCCTGGTAATGTTTACGTTGCTGTTGGTTTGACGTCAGCTAAGTATTTCATAATTCAATATAATATTCTTGTACTCATCATCTCTCACTTTTCAAATCTCAAACTTTGTCATTTAATTAAACAGTCTTTATCTTTCACATGCTTGTGGTGACAGTTTCTATCATGTCTGTGGTGCCATTTCTAATAGCTACTAGCTATTATAAGCACAAATTATAAGGGCTTATTCCATTATTTCTTTAATTGGAACATTAATTATGTATTTTTCGGAGTTCACACAATGATATTAAATTTTCAAATTGGTAGTTCGTTAGGGGAGTAGAACTTGGTAGAAAAAAAAATATCCTTCCTTGTAAAATATTTAACAAGAAAAGACCATCTTTGTGCCTAAAAATTGAACATATTCTGATGAACAGATGAACTATAATCCGAAACCTGTTTATTTAGCCTATTATTAATAACAAGAGGGTACCACTCTGCCATTTTGAAAATATGTGTCCCAAATGATACAGAAAAGTGGGATATTAAACCTTATTTCATTTCTTGTGAAAATGTGGCCCGTATAATACAGAACAGTTGGTTATTAAACCAAACCTATTTCATTTCTTGAAATCATGTGACATATAAGCAGCTTCATTTGCTATCGGGTAGCTATAAGTGCGGTAATTGAAGGAGATACTTAACCTGTCTCTCTCTATAGAATTTATTGTGCATGAATAGTAGTAAACTGATTTCATATTGTCTTTTTTCTCTCTCTCTTTTCTTCTTATCTTAATTCATTGATTGGTTAATAATCTTTATTTTGATGTGTATATATAATAAGTTAATAATTATTGTATTTTTCTTTGTTTATAATGTAAATGAATATTTTATTTCATGAAAAGGAACAAGAGAGGTTAAATAGTGGGTTAACAAAAATGGTTTTATAATTATTGCATCTCATTTTTGGACTATGTTGTATCATCAATTCATCAATCATCATATTCAAATATATAGGTCATCTCTCATCCTTATCCTTATCCTAATGTAGGTACAAGGAAAATATTAACAATGCAAAGAGTTATTTTTGCCACAAAAATATTTAAGATGAAGAACATATTTTTAAAAAATGTTTTAACACCTAAAAAAAGGAAGACAAAATATAATTTAAAAACCAGCCTCTTGTCTCTTTTATTTTGTAAGAATATGTTTTATTTTAACTACATAATTTAATATATGTACTATCTCTGTCACAAAAAGTTTTGTTTACAATGACATGTCTGTCTACATATAATCTATCTTTCTCTCTGCATGCACCCAACAGTGACAGGTAGTATGTCTTTTCAGTTCATTTATTTAATCCACAACTTGCCTGCTAATGCATGTTACTTTTCTAAATGATATTCAAAATGTCTGAATAGGTTTACAAGTGGATACTATTAACATTAATTGAAAAATAAAACAAAGTGTGAAAGTTATAATACAAAGTACTGAATTATATTTAGTTTAAATGCCCCCCCATATAAGCTTATATATATGTTTTTGTTAGTATAAAAACTTGTGCTTTTCGTTTTATACAATGTCACTCTAATTCAGTTGTTGTTTTTTTTTTTATTATCAAAGTACCCGGTAAATATGATATAATATTTTGGGTTGATGAATTTTTTCTCTCTATTTTTTTCAAATTATTTTTTTTTATTTCCAAATTATAACAACGGAAATTTTTAGAACCTAGATCATATAAATACTGTTATTAATATACAGTTTCATTTATTCATGAAAATGGTTGAATTGTCTAATATCCTTAGATGATTATCTTTTCTAAATTCGTACCTTCATTTATTATAATAGGTTGCATTTATTAAAATAGGTTGGCTTAAATTTATGTCATTGATTTATAATGTAGCCTACAGTTGTTCATGCTGAATCAATCAGAATTAAACACTTTGGTAGAAAATTGAGTGTTCTTTCTTGTGACGTGTTTTCAGAGAAAAAAAAATTAGTGTAAAAGGGATTTCTAAATATTCAAATGTGTGCCAAGAGAAAAGGAATCAAATTAAGTGTGCATATCTTATTTATGATGATGCATTGCTGTAATTTAGAATGAAAGATTATAATGAATAGAATACACAGGGAAAATTATTGTTTTAATATAATGGTATAGGGTTGTTTATGCTTTTCACAGTTTCTTATTATATGGTGATTTTTGGTTTAAGTTATTTATATTTATAAGAGCTTAACTAACAGGAATGTTCCATTTAAAAAAAGTTGATTAATAAAATCAAATGCTAAATTGAAAGTTGCTGCTCAAAATATTGATCTATTTGGTAATGATCACCAACAGTTTGCAGTCTTACAGAACTCTTTTAGAGTGTTCACCTCAACTTTTTCAATAAGTGACCTGATAAATGTGACTATTCGATATCATTTGTAAAGTTTGCCAAGAGGTAATTCAAATGCATCAAAATTCGATTACACATTAGAAAGCAAAAGCCAAGGGTATAGCGAGAAGTTGTAGACAGGTTTATCCAGGCTCAAGGTGATTGCTAGTGAAAAAAACTTGTCTCCAGTTCCACCCAAGAGGCATTAGGCTATTACACTTATGAAGCCCCTCCCAATACCCAACTCTCACGACTAGTGGAAGACGTAAATGTGTTTTTAACACAATTGAGCAGATCTGAGGAAGATGATCGATCTAAAAGACTGCATGTAAGAAAGGTTTATGACGGTGTCAAAAATTTTATATTATTGAACAGGGGCCCTTATAGATTTTGAGACCCTAGTGCCCTAGGCTATAAACCTGTCAAGCCTATAGATAAATCCAGCATATTAGGAAGCTGGTGAGACTAAAATAAAGGCTTCTGGGAGCCTTCCAAACATAATTAAACAGTTTTATTCACTGAAATACATACAGTATTTCTCCTCTAACTAAACTTTGCATAAATTCTGTTGGCATTTGTTTCAAACTGCGTCATTACTTAATTTCTAGGGTGTTCTGGTTTAAATTATGTTTTTTTTAACATCAACACAGATTGTTTCTTACACCATATTTATTTTAATAACTGGTTATATCATTGTTATAACTCACTGAATTAAATTACGCCATTCATTATAACAAATTGAAAAGGAAACACATAAGACAGATTTTTATAAGTCGGGTATTGGATTGGTAGAAGTGTCTATTTGTTCAGTGTTTATTTACACTTAAAAGATAGAGTCTCTCCAGCATTTTTAGGTCATCTATTTGGCCCATAATATATTTTAGTGGTGACTTTGAGAAAATATCACAAAAGACAAGAATCCCAAAAGTAATGTCTCAGTTTATGAGAATGTAAATAATAGTACTATTAGAATATTTTACTACTGTACATATTACTCCCAAATTACAATGATCAACAATTGAATCTATAAACTTTTATAGCCAAAATTGATTTTCACAATAGAACTTGTAAACCTATTAACTAGTAAACATACAAAAAAAAATATATCATTATAAATACACTTACGAGTAAAGCATGTGGTATATATCAATACTCAGTCAGATATTGTCACTTTTATCAGTTAAAATAGTAGAAAGCTGAACTTAATATAGTAAATGGGTTGAGAATGTAGTATTAGTTCAAACGTCTCTCAAATTAATATTTACAAATAAACAACATATTCGGACTTTACGGTAAATTTTAGCGCAGGGAATTTAAAAACCATTCAAATTGCGAAATGATTTTAAATTGACACAAATAATATATTGGTTCAGAAGATATCACATGACTTTCTATTGATTTCATGCCACCATTTCTATCATCTTATAATTGTCCGTCAGTGTCTGAAGGATAACTCATTATGTCTGCACACATGAAGGTCAAGATTGTATCTAACCTAGTTTGTTTTTTCATTTTCGTAGACCTGATCACTACAGTATCAATAAAAACACTTTTCATCTCAAATTTTGTTAAATTTAAATAAGAAAAAGCTTGATTGACATTGCAGCTTTAACGGACCCAAATCTGATGAAAATACAGATCAGAATTTTTTCTGACCTAGGCTACCTTTGTTGTAAAGACTAAACCAAATTTGAACTACAAAAAACATAAAGAAATAGGATGTGTGTTTGAATAAAGTTGCATCAAGCTGTCATTACCATACTTTATGAACTTATGCAGCTATTCATCACAATATCGACAACAGAATTATCTGCTCCATAATTTTACTTCTACCATGAGCGATACACATTAACATGTCCATCACAATGTGGTGCAGCAATCAAGATACCATAAAAATTGATTTTGAATGTTAAAAAAAGCATTTATTGTACATCTTGATTTTCAGCATGTTTTTGTCTTAAATTGCATGTAAATGTCTTACAACATAATTTGTATCATATTCAACCAAATAAGACAATGAAGGAAATGCTGGTGTAATTATTTAAGATTTAGATAAAGAGCTTTTATAGTTTAAATAGATAATGAAAAAAGAATCATTCAAATTACTTTATTCTAAGTGAAGTTATGAAGGTTTGAAGTTTTGACAAGAAATGGTGTAAATAGTCTAGATTGTCAAGTACCATTGTTAAAATAATAGTCTGGATTTTCCATTTCAACGTTTAATAAAGATGTGGCAGAAATTGTCTAATCCACTTAATATCTCAGCCATTACTATTAGATGTTCTAGAGAGTTGATTAACAACTTGTTATGTGAATAAATGTCTTAATAATAATTATGTAACATTTGAACCCCAGAAAAAGACTGGGCAGATTTAGCTCTTACGTGAACTTCTTGATTCTTTTGAATTATCTCCCTTTATATAAACAAATGAAAAATTGTAATTTAACATTTTTTGACTAGATAAGCTTTAAATGGATCTTATTTGGTTGATTTTGGTCGTATGTTGATTTTGGTAATAGGCCTGTTAAACTGTAGTTATAATATAACTGTATGTTTTTTGAAAACTGCAAATAGAATAAAATAGATACTAAGTACAGACTTCGATGAAAAATGCTGGCCTATATCATACTATATGATATTTAGACTCTTGTAGCATGCTTGTTTTGGGAATGGGATGCGCTTATACACATATACACATATTATATGATATTTGTAAATGATTTTTAAAAAGTCAATTTATAATGGTTTTCTTCGCTTGTGGTAGAAAAGTGGTCACCATATGTAAGGACTATTTTAGACCAACTATATAGTTAAATTATACGCCATATTCTTCATACATCATCATACTTGAAAGTAAAATTTGACTTGTGTACCAATTACATTTAGTAAAAAAAAACATGGACCATAGTATAAAGATAGATCGTAATTAATTAATGTGTATTTTTACAGGTGGAAATATTACGGAAGAAGATTTATATTCTGCTGAAGAAAAATTTGATGAATCAAAGTCATTGGCTGAAACAGCTATGAATAATTTATTGGACAATGAGGTGAGTTTAAATTTAAGTAAATTGAAGTACAGGATAAATTTAGGTCATTCTTCAACTTTAATAACATTGATTTTGGCATCAAACTCGAAGCTTGAACCTGAGGTTTTCCATTGAACGTTTCAAAATTCAATTCTCTCCATAATACAAATAGTGACAGTCGAATTAAAAAAAGGGATTTTGCGCTACAACGTACACGTTTACTGAAAAAACGGGGGGGGGGGGGGTGGATGGCTGTATCATAAAGTCTGTCATTGAGTCAACTGGCGTGGTTTCGATTTCCCGATTGTACATGTCGCCTGTCTAACCTCGTGGGTTTTCTCTGGGTCCTCCGGTTTCCTCCCACTGCTAAAGACCCCTATGCGCAAGCGAATTATTAAAATAAAATTAAACCATATGTTAGTCCCGAAATGACCTAGTTTGTGTCGAGTGGACGTTAAACCCCATTTCTCTCTCACTCTCTCTGAAAAAGAAAACACCCCAACCAATCACGACAGCTGGAACAGGCAGTGTATATTTAAATCAGGATTCTACTTTCACTATCTCAAAAGTCGGAGTTTTTGATTAATTTACTTCATGTTATTACTCATCATGTTAGCGACAAAAATGATGATTTTCAACAATTTCTGATAATTGTTTTCAGAGTTATTGCTCTTGATCACTTTTAATGAAAACATTCTATAATTGTGGTTATGATAAGAAACATTTTTGTTATTGATTAGTTTTTGGTATGCTGTGATTAGTTTCCTGTTCAGACGATTTAGTTTCCCAAGCTATTTCTAAAAATGATGAACTGTTGTATATTATATATTAAAATATTATTATATATATATTATAGATTGAACAAATAGCTCAACTTCAGTCTTTTATTGAAGCTCAGACAGATTATCATAGACAGTCTATGGAAGCTTTACAGAGTTTATGTGAGACTTTAGAAGAAAAGTAAGTTTGGTTATGTTTCATCAACAAATTGATCTAGAGGTGTATGAGATCACACGGTAAAGCATATTCCTGAGATATCCCTCTCTGGCCATTGCTGGATTGACTTATGATACTTGAGCTTTTGAGGGAGTGTGTCTATTCTTCACGTTCAATCAAATCTCTCCTAATTACAGCAACATGACAGCCCTTCATTTGATCTCGGGTCTTCCCTAAAACTTTGGACAGTTATTTAGGGTATTAAAAACGGTGAAAATATTGTTCATCTCCAATCAGTATTTTTTACATTGTAACCGTTGATAGCCTCGTTTGTCACGCAATTAGTTTTTCTGCAATATTCTGCTATGCACTGGTTAATTGTGGGTAAAAGTCATGACATAACATTATGTAAACAATGTGGAGCTCTGTTTAAACCCGAATGACATTGTTACGCAGTTCGGCATTGGTTGTTGATCTGACTATTGACCAGTCATAATTTAGGACAGAAATTTGCTTTCATTACGGCAGTGCTTGAGTGGGATTAGGTCTAATCAAACGAAACACTGCGAGGAGTATGACGGTAAAGTAATTTGCATTAATAGTGGACTTAATATTAAAAATGTCATGGATTAAGTCAGAATTAAAACCTTTGAGGAATTATTGTTAATGAAATGTTTTTTGTGCACCAACTGAGATAATTAAAGATACATTATGGGAGATAAGATAAAGAGATGGCAGTTCTCGCTATAATAGTTAAAAACTAGATAGTGTAAAGGTAATTTGCTGAAAATTTCAGTCAAATTGATCCACTATGAGCCGAGAAAGAAGCGGGTGAAATTTTTGCATAGTCTCGGTGATCATTACTAAAATCATTAATATAAACAGCATAGTCTCGATTATCCACTTTTTTGATTTAATTATCAATGGCCGTTAGCGGCATATAGGAATCTAATCCAGCCAACATCGAAGGCTAGTCTTGACATCAAGAGTTTATTATGGTCTGGATAAGTTAATTAATGTCTAATTGATAATTTAGATAACATTTCAGGCCTAAAGAAAGACTTGTAATAAGCAGATTTTGCTCTTGCATAATGCATGTTTAAGACAGACATTAGGGAAATTTCAATTTCAAACTATAAGGGAATCATTAGCATGCTGACAATGATATACACCAGACCTTCGCTTTTTTAGCAATCTGAATGACTTAGACATTTTTCCTTGCCAAGACCCTCTGTTCCTGCACTACATGTACTTACAAAGGAAAACCAGACTGGAAAATTCTGAGGAACTTACTGCTAAACACAGGGATTTCCTGGTTAGCCGCAGCTTCCATTATCATTTATGATGAGAAAAAATTTTGCTGAATGATGGTGTTTTGCTTATGTGAGATTTCATATATGTTTTTGAATGTAAATTTTATATCTTTTTTTTACAGACGTAATGAAGCTGCTAACAAACCACGAATTGAACATGTTCCAAAGCGTGTGGCGTCATTCCGACGAAGCCCCTCACCATCACCACTGTATGAAACACCACATGATAATAATTTCGGTGGTTCAGGTAGCTACAACTTCCAGTCCAATGTACCACCTTCTTATAATCAGTCTGGTATGTGCATGACTAATACACTTTAACACCAATACTAATAGTAATATAGAGTTACACAATTAAAATTGGCAACTTGCCAAATTAAAATATCATTATTATACAGCTACTAAAAATGTAGCAACATCATTATTCATTTAAGTCGTGATGCGTCATTGGCATTCTTCACCAAAATATCAAGTTTCTCACAGCTTAATCTACACTAATATGTACTCAAATCGGTTATTTAACATTTAATTAAGAAACCAAATTCAAAATACCAACGGTAGATAATGTCCCGGCTTGGATTCATTTGGATTTAAAAAAAAAACATCAATAAATTCTTGCAGAGAACAAATGGCAGCGGGATTATTACAGAGCAAGCAGCATAGATCGATGAAATTTCAATTCTACATATCTATGTAAATACTGAACTGGACTGAATTCCTATTAGAGATTCATCTTTCACAATATTGTAGTTAGCAAGTGATTTTAGAGTGCTAAAATGACACATCAGGACTTTTAACTCATGATCAAAGTTTATTAAAAGCACAGATTGTCATGAGCATATTTCACTCAAAAAAAGCTTTTCCACACTACGATGTACTTAAATTGCTTGGATTCGGTCAGATTAAATTAAATTCATTTTTGGACTTAAACATTCCTCTGAGAGATCAAACTTTCACAATATTGTAGTTTGCCATGGATTCTGTAAAACAGTGTACATACTAAAATTATATCAAACAGCTCCGGTTTTAGTAATAAAGAATTTAATTCAAATGTTATATGGTTTAATATGGTTTAATTTTATTGTATATGTGGCCTGAAACAAAAATTCACGCAGGGACCCTAGCAAGAGTCTATGTTGACCCCATTGTTGTAAATAGTTTCTTTTAATATACAAAGTTTGAATTATTTATATTATGCCATCGTAGGATTTGACGGGTTTGATAATAATTATGATGGTAAGTAATGAGTAGGTTATAAATACTCAGTGTCGTAAAGTCATAGTTTACTGGAATGCCCATTAATTTAGAAAATTTTGTATGATTTTTGTTTTCGCTTGAAAAAGTATGTACACTTTTCATAAAAAGGCTCGGATAATGGTTATTAAACACTCAGTGTCGTAAAGTCTTAGTTTACAGGAATGCAAATAGCTTTTTAGAAAAGTTTTATATAATATTGTTTTCATTTCAAAAAGCTTGATCCATTTCAAATAAGGACTGTGAATATCTACAGAATATATTAATAGAAATATTGATTGTATACTGTAGATTTTCATCTCTGCCATTTTCACTATTTCATCTGCCTGTCACAATAAACTTGTTGATTGAATTTAATCCATGACTTTATAGTTAAATTCTGAATATTTTTAAAAGTTATGACTGCACATAGTAAGTAGTTAGTTATAATGCATGAATCTATATTTTTAACTTTGATATTTATGAATATTACATCAATTTTCTCTGATTCTTCTTATAAATTCATGCTTATATTGTGTTTAAATTTGTATCTTTTAAGTATATCCCCTTGAATACATTATAGTCATCGCATATCCGATGACCTACTTTATTAAATGGGCATGTATTATTATTATTTATATATGTCTTTTAGAGATCGTCTGTAATATCATTTTTATATGAATAAAATGGGCATGTATTGTTGTCATCCATATATGTCCTTGAGAGATCATCTGTAATATCATTATTTGTGTTAAATTATTAGAAATTTAAGCCAAATTTTTTAAAAATCTATATTAAAAACTTCTGGACAACTTCTGTAAGCTGATATTTTGTGTTAATTATGAGTTTTATTTTGACAAAAAGATGTATGCATGCTGACAAATACCAGCAGTTATTATTTTTATCAGGATTTCTTTTAAATTACACTACCTGTATCTTATCAAAGCATAAATATATTTTATAACTCCGCATAATATACCATGGTATGAGTTCTTGACAGAGTTATCCCAGTGCTCACCATTTGATTGGATTTTAAAGGGAGCTAAGCCTCTTTGATTTAGACAAAAATAAAGTATTCAGTTGGGCTGATCTGATGTATTATTTCAATGAGTGATATGTCAGACTGTATTTGATTGAATTTTGTTTGTGAAAAAATGAAATGGAAGCCGACTTTTTATTTTAGTTTCAATTTTGGCTTACAAAATCAGTTATTTCTCAATTACGGTTTATCTAAAGATCGAAGACAGACTGTCATCCCACAAAACAAATTAACATATGAAATTGACCCAATGGGGATTTAATCATTCTAAATCGTTAGTTTTATATTACACTACTAAATTATCTTTGTCAAGTGAACAGATTTGTTTAAATAAAACCATAACCGTTCGAACTATTTGAACTGACCAAGAATATTATTAAAACAAATATTGATATGGTTTCTGTTTGTATTTTTCAGTCTCTAACAAGCAAGACGCGTCTGCTGAAGCTCTATATGATTTTGTACCAGAAAATGAAGGAGAACTTGGATTCCGTGAAGGTGACATGATAACTCTGTTGAGTCAAGTTGATGAAAATTGGTTTGAAGGATCATTAAATGGAATAGTGGGTTATTTCCCGGTTAATTATGTTAATGTTGTTGTACCGTTACGGTGATGTTTTTGATTACACAATCATCAAATGATATGTAAATTGTTGTTTGTGTTTGTGGCATTATCGGAAGTCATATCTTATTTAAAAAATAAAAATCTTAATGTGAACATTAGGAACCATAAGATCGTTCTTGTGCAAATCTGTAAATTGTAAATTTTGTCATTGTAAAAATTCTACAATGTAGTAGGGAAAACACACAAATTATTGAGTAATCCATCAAAATAGAAATAATATTTAATTTGTTTATTATAAATGTTCACATTACCCACCACAAATTTTAATAGTTCCGCATTTAATTCATAGAATATCAAGTCCCTAGGTTTAATTAGAGCAGCTAAAAGTAAATACCTAGATTCTTTGATTTCTGTGTGTCAGTTAATTTAAACAGGTTTTTTTTTTATTAAGGCCAAATTAATTTGAAGTTTAATTTATTCAGGATCTTGATAAATAACCTGCAAAAATTAGGACTTTAAACCACATTTCAGTTTTTTTTCATTTGATAAATTTAGATCTAAGAGCTTGGTTTTCCAAGAAATAGGAAGCAACAATTTAATGTCCTTTCCAGAAGAACTAGAATTCAAATTTCTTTGGCCTAATGTTTTACGATTAAACCCGTATAATCATGTGTATATATAAAAATATTAAAAACAATGAACTATTTTAGATAGTAATGTTATATATGCATTGTATAGTTTAGAATTGACACAAGTTTTCTCAAATATATATATATATGTATGTATTATAGTTTTTGAAATATTATTTTAACCATCGTACATTTCATATTTCTTCTATGAAACTGTTAAGTTTTTTTTTTAAAATAAAAACACCTAAACATACTGTATATATTTGTTTTTCATTCACATAGAAAGTTAAGTGAGAAATATGACTTGAAGAGGATGACAGCTTGTTTACCTACTGTTTTTTCATGTTAATTGATTTATTAATTAATGACACAACGAGCCAGATTGTTGACATGTATTTCTAAAATTATTTTAATGTAAAGACTGATTTTATAAGCCCATCTGAGTATAAACACTTTCATGAAGAATGGAGCGGCTTGTACGAAAAATATAACACAATTATAATTATTATATTTGTGTCAGAGATATAAAGATGCACAATGTGAAATCAATGGAAACCAATGTAAACTTAAAATGAACATAATTAATGGATTTATATATATTTAACATTTATTCTGGCATGTTATAAGTTATTATTGATTAATAAATCAATTAACATGAAAACATTATTCTCTTAAATTATTCTTTTCTTTAATTAATGTGTACTTTAATGTAGAATTTTGGGCTCAATATCAATATATCCTGTTACTAGATAAGAAATGTTTGTTATTTTTAAGATATATTAAGATAATTGTAAATATTCAAATTTATAAACTGTAGTGATTAGTATTAGGAAAGAGTTGCTCTTGTAAAATTATATCCATCTATGAAAATCAAGAAATGATTTGAAACGATTTGTATATTTTTCATAGGGCTATAATTTTCTGGAGCAACCCCAAGATAGAATAGGTTACTTAAAACTTACACAATGTAGTATTAAATATTAGAAAAATTAATAAACAATAGAAAATATTAGAATTTTACCTACTTAATGGGAATGTTATTAGGAGTGAGAGGGGTTGAGTTGTCCCATTGTAGTAATAAATTAAATTTGATTCTTTTTTAACAGAATAATTTGTCTATTATAAATTGTTTATCTTTCTTTGTCTATAAAACTGCACAAGTGATAAATTTGATTGTTGTATATAGCAATTATTTTACAGTTTTATTTCTTTTGTTTAAATGTTAATTATTGGAAGTTCTGAATCTGAGGTGTTGGATGTAGTACTAGGTAAAACAAGATTTCTATATATAATTTAATATAATTAGTTTCAAATAAATTAGAGCTGCTGGTCAGATAATTAATTTATTATAATTCTTATTAATGAGTCATTAATTATTGTGATAAAGATGATGGGTTGTAATGGTTTAAATAGAGTAGTCTGAAATTGTCATATCACAAGTTTTATGTGTTCTTTAAGTATAGGTAAAAGTCTAATTTTTATACGCCCGACATTCTCATGTGGATGTATATTGTCGTCGCCCCTGTTCGTCCGTTTGTGTACACTTCACAAGTCACAATTCTTATCCAATTTTGAGGTCACAATTTTGATCCGATTTTTATGAAACTTAAAACGTATGTTTATGTTCCAAAGATCTTGGTTCCTTTCAATAATCGTGCATATCGGACTGTAAGTTCCTGGATCATGGCCTCTGATTTTGATGTAACTTAAAATATCGGCTATGTTTATATCCCAGAGTTTTCGATTCCTTATGTTTGCCCATATCGGACCATAACTTCCTGGATTATGTCCCCTGATTGTTCGAAAAATAGCTTTTTTTTAAGGTTGTACTCATCTATCTCTTGCAAAATGTGGGCGTATCCTGCCTGGCAACCGCTGGTTGTTTATGTTTCTAACCTTCAACAAATTATGATATGCGATGTAGGCCATTGAAATTACAGAAACTGATATGAAATAAAGATTTGTTTTTGTTTTATAAAAGTGGTGCATGGATTTCTTCTACATCTTAGTTTGTATTAGCAGTTGTACTTCTTTTTAAAATTTTAAAATGTGAAATTCATAATCTCTGGTAAAGCTGCTGTTCTTGAACCAAAAACTTTCACATTATAGAACCAATGTAATAATATATATTATAAACCTAACGCTTGTAAATGTTGTTTTCAGTTCAGTACAGTATTAATGTTTTTTGTCATTTTGTATTTAAAAAGTACATGTATATATGGAGAAATTGACAGATTTTATATTATGCTTAACATCTTCAGCATGTCATAAACACATACGAGTATTTCTAAGTTTCAAATATAGAATGCACAGGTGCTTTATTCATGGAAACTTACATTCCATTGACGTATGACATCCTATTTACATACTGGTAACCATGCGTTAGACACTATGTCTAGACTACAGGGAAAACTATATTTGTTGTTGAAGATGGGAAAATCCTAACATACTGTATAAACCCATGCCTATGTTGTAATGATTAACAGTGACCTGTCACAGACACAAACTGTCATCTGCCAAACTTGAAATGAACAGATTGTTACTTTATTGCTTATTACTGAAACTTTTATATAGCACAATTTATCAGTAAACTTACCAATCGCTTTTAGTCTATAGGTTCTTTTTTCTAGGTCATAAAAAAATATACTGTTGCATTAGTTGATCTAATTAACCTCAAGGGAATATATCTTTAATATCTAGATGTGAAGAAAGCTAAATAACAATGTAGATAATAATGCATTGATTGCAGGTGATTTAAATTCTCATAAATAAGATATATAGGGCATTCTAAAATTTAATATATTACTATTCCCTTAAACGTAATTCTGTAGATGTGCTTGTTTTTGTTTTAGTCAGTGCCAAACACAGCTTTTATGCCTGATCGCTAATGCCTATAATATGGACTATGCATTGTGTTGTAAATAATTGTTAACAATTTTACCCATCTTTGTGCAATCTGGAAATACCAGTTGAGTTCGTTAGTACAAGTAGAGTTTTTTTTCTCTCTCAATCTGTGGGTAGTATTTCAATTTAAAAAGTATGTGCTTTGTATTGCTCTGTACCATTGACACATTGTTAGTATTTTTTGGGGGCGAGTTTCGTTATTCTATTAGTCTTTAAATTACAACTGTTACCCAACTACAAGTATTATATACTCTTCAAAAAAAGTAGGGGATATTCAGATACAAAACTGCGGAAATGCTCTGCTGTTTTTATTAGAGGTAACCAGTGTATGTTAATAACCGGCCAATTGCCTACACATGAACATAAACAGTTCATATGGGCAGCTTATCTGACAGCCCCATTTCACTCGCAAAGAGAGTGGACCTTTTTGATTTTTGTCTTAATAATGAGTAATTGCTACACCAATCATCAGACATTCAGCAATTCGTTGTGGCATGCTCCTAATCAACCGTCCAGTCATGATTTGGGGCAATCTGACCCACTCCCCTTGCAGTGTTGACGTTGACAAACACGTCTCCCGATGAAAATAAACGTAACACACTAAAGCATTTGGGGCAATCTGACCCACTCCCCTTGCAGTGTTGACGTTGACGAACACATCTCCTGATGAAAATAAACGTAACACACTAAGGCAAAGATACGCTAAACAGTAAATCTTATGCAAGAACCAATAGGAATGCTAACATGGATAGATAAACCAGCACGCAGCAGTTTTCATCAACCCATGTGTAGCTCAGTGGTTCTGTTGGGGCAATAAGTTCTTCATCTGTGAACATACTCTCAAAGCATGTCAAATGTCCATGACTATCATATCATTTCACAACCTGCATAGGTATTTGCATTTCAATATCCCCTACTTTTTTTGAAGAGTATATATTTGACAAAATAAAATATATCCAAGCTGTATATCAAGATAATCTTACAATGGAATTAGAGATTTTTATTGTTATACCCGGGTTTCAATTGCATTTAAATAGAAGTTGAAAATTTTTAGAGTATCAGTACAGGTACAACTGTATATTTCAATGACATGATCTTTGCTGCTAGTAGAACTCTTGTATCAATATTCTTGCAACTTGATTAGTTTGTATTCAATCTCCTAGCAGACCATTTGTCATTAATAATTTATATATTTTCACTGTGTTCTTTAAAATATTAAACTAGATGCTTTAATTGGTCACAAAAATCATACAATATTTGCACTTGTGTTACTCTATCCCCAAAACATTGCTTCTTTATGGTAGTCAACTAGTATTAATTTATGGTTTCTTTTGTTTTTGAGTATTTATAAATATTTTATTATTGCTCATCCTCATTGTCTTGTCCTTTTATTTCTACCATTCCATGTAAGTAACAAAGCTTAAGAATTTCTTGAGATTATGTTTCAGAAAATTATTCAAGACGAATGTAATACTATTGTACTTTATGTAACAAAATACCATGAATTTGGTGTATTTTTATTTTAAAATAATTTCAAATGTAAAAGTACAACAAAAATCTGATTAACAGGAAATGATATTCGTCATATATGCTAACAAAAATCATTTGAATTTTTCAGAGGCCTGTTTTCTCCTAACTAAAATATCTTGCGTTTTTCTCTACCAACCTATCTGAAAATAATCTTTAGTCTTCCGCTTACCTTAAATAGAACAGTGATTGTACAATCATCTGTATTATCTCCGTGGATACAAATAAACTAATTGTATGTGGGTTATTAACTTTGTAGCGTATTTCTTTTCAGTGTATTAACTTTTACATTTGTATTTAGTTTCTTCTCTGAAATTGTGTTCTCAATATTATTTTTTAAACTTACAATAAGAACAGATTTTGAGGTCCTGTTTTAACCAATTTGTACCATTATTGTCACTTTATTTATCACTTCAATATATTATATTGGAGTTTATTGGTGTAGTTAAATGTAGGAAGAATGGTAAATAAATGATATCATACGGGAGCTTTTTGTTCATTTTTCTATCAATTCGTCTAGTTTTAACCAGTATTTACCTAGATAGACACTGATAGTTGTGTACAAGACTTAAATCTGAATGTTTTTCTCAAAATGGATGTTGGTCGGTCAACTTTAGGAATGCAAAACTCTGCTTCTAATCAATCCAACCTCGTGGGTTTTCTCCGACTGCTAAAGACCCCTGTGCGCAAGCGAATTATTGAAATAAAATTAAACCATATGTTAGTCCCGAAATGACCTAGTTTGTGTCAAGTGGATGTTAAATCCCATTTCTCTCTGCTTCTAATCAAGGTATATGGTCTGGAGGTGAATAGTCTTGTCAGTGTGAGCTTGATAAGCATTTTCTGCATGGGTTGAGCAGTTAAATTTGTCATACTTTAGAAAACTGGACTTTGATTCTAAATGAGTGAAAGTGATGAAACTTGGGTGTATGCTCAGTTGAAGCAGAATGATAATTAACTTCATTGCTCAATGCTTTACAGAAACTGATAAATGTGAAAGTAATTAATATGTCATCTATTTTGGGATTCGAGCAGGGGCCATTAACCATCTATTTTTCTTCAGAGTTCAAAATTGTTTCCCTGCTGGTCCGCTTCGAGAACATAGGGGTTGGGGAGCTGCAGTGTTCCTGTTTTTATGCACTGTTTTATAGAGACAAATGGAATGGCGTTTAACGTCATTCTCGACTGCGCTAATGCCAGTGTTTTCTGTACCATTCGAACAACTAGTCACTTCAATACAGACGAAGGATCCCAGGGAACTATCTTGACCCAGATATCTGGGTTAGTGAGCCAGTGTCTTATTTACTGAGCCACTGCGGCCCCTATGTTACACACCCAAAATACAATTAAAACTTGTTTTATGTGATGATTTTTGCAGCCCAACTTTAATTGTAGCCAGTCAACATTGACTATTCAAATGCCTGAGTGCCAGTCCAATTCAAATATGATGATTGTGTTGCAACTGATCTAACCCTGATTTACCTAATATGCTTTTTCTTTGGCAATGGTTTACCCGATCAGTCGCTCAAATTCGACTTTGAAGGGAACAGATTATGAGAGAAGTGGTTAGACCTTATGACGAACATCATATGAAAATTCCCAAAGAAAGATTTAATTTTAATGGGATTGAGAGCGCAAGTGCTAAATCACGATTTTGCAAGCAGCCAACATTCAACATGGTGCAAATTTTCAGAGTAACCCCATCCTACTTTCTGGCGCATCGAATTGCCAGAAATGCCTGTAATTGGGAGCTGTCCAAAACTCTCTTCCTGTCCTTGGATACAAATGCAATGCATTAATTTTGTCCAATTCTACATTAATTATTTTATGTGTACTAACTGAAGCAAAAGTAATGACATGAACTATTGTCAGCATGAACCGATCTATTCAAGTAAAGCCAAACACAAAGCGAGCTAGGGGAAGATTTCAGGATTGTCTTTACCTAACAATCCAATTACCAGTATCCTTCCACTTCCCTAGAGCATAGGTGTTGGAAGCCCAGATTTGATGAACTGTCTACTTTTTGGGCAATGTATTTCTGTTTTTTGGGCACAAACCAGAGAATGAGACCCATATATCATTCTGAAAATTCAGGTGACAAAGAAAATTTTCGGGCAAATAGCCTCAGTCCCCCAATTGAGATTTGCCGCCTATGCCTGGAGGTCATTTTCTCACATTGATTAAAGCAGTATTAGGCAAGATTCGATAAAGTGCCAACAGTTCTTGGTATAATAATTATAAAATAGATAATGAAAAGAGAATAGTTTGAAAATTTCAGTCAAATTACTTCAATCTGAGCCAAGGATCCGCAATAAAATTTTAGGCTACCCTCGATTGTCATTCATACGATAATAAACAAAGTCTTGATTATCTATTTGTATGGTAACTGCAGCCACCACAAATGTCTAATTAAAATTTTAGATAACATTTTAGGCCTAAGAAAGATCTGCAATAGGCAGATTCAGCTCTTGAATAACCCATGTTTAATTTAGACATCAATAAAAAAATTCATCAGAAGATACAGGATTTATTCCATTATGTTAACATTAATAACACTGGTTACAATTAAAATGATAGATGACATTACAACGATAAAATCAATCTTCAAAAAGAAGATATAGTAAGCCATATTTTTGAAGAAAAATGACTTTTTGACTTAAATGAAAACATTTTCCTACATAAAAGAACATTCAATTTTAACCTTTAATAATATTATCTATGAAAAATAGAAACGATGTGATGATTTGATGACTAAAAGGTAAAGTGATACTGGATTATTCAAAATGTTTTTTTAATATTTTAATTATTAAAAATGGATAACAAACACAAGTCACAATAACTATATTTAAATTTATATCATATGTTCATAAGCTAAAACTCATTTAACTTTTCTCATTTATGATCTTTGATCATTATAGCCACCACTAAATTTACCGGAGTATCTCTTGACACTGAAATTAAATAAAAAAAACAAATTAAATATATCTATTTTATACATATTTAATCAGAAAAACACAAGATAAAAGGTTTTTCTTCTTTTTCTTTAAATCAAAACATTTAAGGCAAACTCTTCCAAATCATTTATCAATGGCATCTTTGTATGTTTAATTTAATACATCAGAGACAGAAATTACCACAAGTCTATTACATTCTCTATGAAAACACAACCATCCAGACTAATACATATTTCACGATAAAGACCAGGGGAGATATTTCTATTCTTAAACTTCAAATAACAACAAATTCTATCAGACTAACAAAAATATCACATGCCTCGCCATTCCTCAAAAAGTTCATTCTGAACCCAGCAGATTTATATACAATTTGCAAAAAGATCTTAATATTTTTTAAAATATCCTTTGAACTAGAAGTTATGATAAAGACATTTTCATGAACTATATTAAGGTCTTATTTTGTTTTAAAATAGTATTAAAAATAAACTTTTACAAAGAGTTAATGCTTTCTTAACAGACAAGACAAAGCCAATTAGTCAAGATCATGATTAATTTATTCTCTTTCAACAACCGAATTACAAGACCAAACATAATCCTGGTTAGCCATAATAATTAGTTTCTCAAGAACCAACCTCTAGTTTCATTTGTGCTTAAAACATTTTTCAATAAAACGTAGAAATCGGCAGAATTCTGGTATATCGAAGTAAGAGCGGGTTTGTTTTTTAACAAATTTAAGCGACTAAACAACAGTTTTCAGGTGGAAATAAACAGTACACAGCAATTATTCCCATATGCATATTTCATAAAAGAGTTAATATTATTGCTAAATTGTAAGTATAAACTAGAAAGCTGTGAGTCAATTGTTAGTGGAAGGATGCAAGCTGTAAAGCTCAGCCTTAATCTGGGAAGAATGTGATTTATTGTTAGTCAAATAAAAACAACAAAATCACTAGTCTTCCAGACCATGACAGAAAGGTTAATATTATTAGCATTCCCAAACCACCATGCCCTAAAACCAAGCAAGCAAAGTTAATAAACCATCACCAATATACTATATCAGTCTTACGACTATACCTTCAAACAATCAAATTGCATCTATCATCGGCAATTATAAATTCATTTTAATTGAAACCAACACCATAAACCATTCATCCAAAAATCAGTAAAATACACAAAAAAATCTATGAACTATTAAAAGTTTAGTATTTTTCACCAAGCAAATCAGTAGAAGATAAGACTAATACCTTGACTGTAACAGATACTGTGCTGTCTGAATCTGTTCTTGAGAACCAGTAATGGTAATGATACGATCAGTTGAACCAGGCAGAGCCTCATCAATGACAATTTGGGCACCAGAGTTACGTCGAATCTCAGATATGCGACTACCAGCTTTTCCAATGATAGCACCTGCCAACTGAAATGTCATTAAAAAAAATAAAAATTAATTATCCCTTAAAAACAAAGGCAAAATGAGGTAATATTAAACACCATATCCACATAAAGATATCACATTTTTACAGAAGATATAATTGTGTTTAGTTATATTATTTTAGTTTATTTAAATCAACTTACATCTTTAGGTATTGTTACTTGAGTTGAAGTTTCAGGTTCGTTACTTTGCATACCAGCTGTTAATGACATGGGTGCATCCATTGGTGGCTGTAACAACACAGAATATATATTGTTAGATATATATTGTTTTTATGAAATTAAAGAATATATTTGAACACATCAATTAATCTACAAACTGTTTATAAACTTGGTTATTTATCTCGAAACTTTAGACAGGACGCCTTAGAGGAAAACACATGTTACTATAGATAGCTATCGTTTCATAACATAAAACTGTATTTAGGTAACTTACCCGGTCATCAAAACTGTCCATTCCACCTCCATAACCACCCATACCACCTCCACCACCACCTCTACTCATACCAAAACCTACAACAAACATTAAATAATCAAATATTTATAAATATATGTATCCAGAATATAAGTAAAAAAGCCCATCTTTTATAGTTGAGGTTATAAACATAATACTAACAGTCTATCAAATATCACTCATCAAAATAATAGATCATTTTCAATTTTAGAAAAATTTTCATGAAATTTCAATAGAATATAGATTATTTCTTACCTCCATCATACTGTCCTCCCATACCACCATTATCCATTTGTCTGTTAAAATACATAACACAAAATTATTAAAAATCTAAATAAATATCAGGGATTCTGGATAAAATCAATTATCTAAATGAGAAATGCATTATTTCAACCAACTTTTGCTAATTAACTTTTTGAAGATATCTTTAAATAATTACATTTTGTGTTCATTACAAAAACATTGGAAACCAAACATGCATGCTTCATAAAGCACTTGTCAACAATAAAAGGGCTACTATAGAAAGACTTACCTTCTACCACCACCACCTCCTCTTCTGTTCATACCCATACCTCCCATACCCTGGTCTCTTCCTCCTCTCATACCACCTCCACCTCCCATTCGACCTCCCATTCTACCACCTCCACCTCGTCCACCAAAATCACCACTAAAATACAAAACATTACTGCTAATACTCCGTTTATAAAAAAGTGTAGTTATTGCTTCAACTGCAGTTATCTTTTCAAATGATTTATCTATCAGATTGCTGGAAGTGATTTAAAAAATGTGCCCATGGCTCGAGTGCTAGAATAGACACTGATATTAAGAATAAATATTTTAATGCAATTTGACTTGTGTACTTTAAGTTCGTTTAAAAAAAAAAATCAAAAAAAAAATCCATCCACTACAAATAGAAGTTATAAGAAGAAAGGAAAGATGAAACTGTGGGATAAAAAGTGAAGTGAATATAATGAGTTTTTGTCTGTCTTATAACTGCGATATAATACAATACTAGGATCTTATAGCTAGCTAATCAGCTAGTAATTAAATATTCCAGACAATACACTCATTTAAACATCACATTTTATATAAACAGAGAATAGAACAGAAATATACAGCTATCTTAAACTACATTTTTACGTTAGATCATCAGCACACTTACCGACCACCTCTCATTCCACCACCACGTCCTCCGCGACCTCTACCTCCGCCGCCACCACCTCTCATATCTTGACCCGTAAAACCACCATATTCATGGGCAAAGAATTCATCAAAATTGTGTGGATCATACAGTTGATTGGGTCCTTTTGGTGGTGCCTACAAAATACAAGGGTAATATTTGCTCAAAATAATTTAGGTTCATAAACACTAGCGATTTCACCCAAACAATACAAATAATTGGCAGGTGTTCCCAAAACTGGTATCAGGATTGTTTTGAGAAATTGAGACGATATTGAATTATTGGAAGATACTTTAATTGATTAGTCTAATAGACCCCAGTTATGAATAAAACTGAATTATAATTAAAACAGTTAATGTGCATACATAGAAGACTTACCGACTGTAAGAGTTCAAAGATTTCCTCAATACAACCAACAACAGTTCTTGGTTTACCACAGATCTGTACAACACGTTCTGATGATTGCGGACAACACTGAGAAAACACCTTGATATTAGCACCAGTTTTCTAAAATTAAAATAAATGACAAGGTACACTAAATAATTAACCTTGAGATTGCTCCATTATTAGTACAGAACATTCAGAATTGACAGAATTGCAATTGAGTGATAGAGAATTCACAGTTCTGTCAATCTCGAAAATATATGTGGTTTAAGCAGAATTAAGACATGATGTCAGCTATGGGGATTGATTGAAATAGTATCATCTTCAGTTGGTACATGCCTGGTCTCCCAAAAGCACAATCAAGTATCCTGTTCAATCAATCACATGGGAGGTAACTCTTTTTGGACGAAAACGAAACGCAATATATATTATTTCAGAAGTATTACTTGAAAGTTTAATACTTCATATATTTTTAGTAAATTTTTCAGGATGTTTTTTGATTCTTGGATAGTTTTTACAATCTGCATGAAATCATGTGCAAGCATATTCATGTGAAAGAAACGAAGCTAACAATACCTCTCTTAATTCTTTAATTTTAAATCCAGCTCTTCCAATAATACAACCAGCTTGACTCTGATGTACCATCATTCTACACTCACAATCAAAATCATCTTGTCCTTTATATTGTTTATACTGTTATAAAATAAAATTACATTCTTTAAATCATGGCTCACACCAAACCGACTTCTTTCAAATTATCGTGTCTGTTTCAATTAGTCCTTTGCAATAAAAACTAGAAAACTGTAAAATATTAATAGTCAATTATTAAACTCTTATCTTCATTCCACTGATTTTAAAGCCTTTAGTATCTGAATTCAAATATATGATTGATAAAAACTGATAAATTACCTCTTCCAGAGTTGGAATAACATCTAACAAACATTCTAAGACTGTGCCAAGTTCTGCAGAAATAGTAAGAATCCTGTAAAAAGGATAAATATATAAAACTGATTAGAGAAAGAAATAAGACGATGGTATATTAAAATAAAATATACTGACCATACATAACTCTCACACACTTATATATAGTAACATGAACATGGCACTCTCTCAGAAATTATCTTTACATTTTATTTTACTTTTTAAATTTCTTTTAATATTAAAATCATCAGAAGTAAAAAAGATATAGCAGTTCACTACAAGCAAAGTTAGATCATCAAAAGAAAGAACTTTGATAATACCCTCAGAATTTGTTATGGAGAACAGGTGAAAATAAATAATGTCTGACTAAAATCATATTCATAACAGAAGGTACAAGGGAAAAAGTTCATCTAAAACGTACTAGTTGCTTTGACTTTGAAATTAATTAACAAATTTCTCCATTCTGAGGGGATAATCAAAGACATTAACTTTAATATTTATAATAAGCATATTGATAATCAAATTGTGGTATCATGAATTTGGACCAAGGCATTTTTGATCAAGCAGAAAATTTTTCTTTTGCAATGTGTAAATCGAATTTGACATGGACCAAATAGGGATTTTGGCAACCCCAATGGCTTTTTCAATTTGACAAATGAGTGAATAATAATATGTTTCCTGGTTTTTAATTTAAGACCAGAGATTACCAAGGAAACATTATCAACCTAATCTAAGGCTGGATTGAAAAGAAAATAAGAATTGGGAGTTAACTGGGTTCATACCGTTCTGGGCCGGAGGAGTCTGGTACCGTAACACTGGCTTTGTACTGTATGACGTAGATGGGCAGGGCATTCCAATGTCAAGGACAATCAATTTTCAAGGCCATTGATGGATATCATTGTAGGGCGAGAGTGGGGACAGGCATATGGAGGATAACAAATAAAGAATCATGAAAATCTTCTATCAAAGAAATACAAGGGCATAGCAACACATTATCAATAAATTAAAATTTCAAATCTTTTACTTGGGTTGGTCAATTGGTAATTATTTCTGATAAAATAAAAGACGATATAATTAATTTTCAGAAACTAACTTTAAATAGAAAACAGGTTGAGATAATATTAAAATTTAATTATGGATCAAACTGAATGGCATAGGATTGAAGACTTATTACAGAATGGCATATTACCATTTTTAACAGATATTAATAACATTCCAGGACCCTCGCAAATGGCAGGACCATGGGGTTTCTATAATATGAACATTATGTAACTTTATTCTTCAAGATTACAGTTTAATTTTTCTGCCTATATTTAACAGTGAACACAGCAACAATACTTACGTCAGTTCTAAGTCTTTTTATGTTGGTGCCACCTTTACCAATAATAGCGCCGGCATTCTACAATTAATAACAAAAGAACTGAATAAAAAAAATCAATTATCTGACATGGTACGAGTATCAATCAATGGTGGAATAGAATAATTGATATCAATAATACCATCATGAAAAGGAAATTATTTTTGTATGTTTATTGATAACCTGCTCAGACTGTTTGGTAATGCATGTAAATTTAACTTTCATCGACATAAACTCATAGATCACCTAGCATTCAAAGGATAAAATTTCGGTGGTAAGGAGATAAAAAGATTCTAGTTAATAATTTTACTGAAAAGCAAATATATTTATTTATCCCCAAATTTAGCAAATGTTTATATTTTTTTTTATAGAAGAGTAACAATCTATCGGCCAGTTCAAACAGATTACGCTGAAATTAATGTGTGAAGCCGATATAAATGTGGGTAATAAAAAATGAAAAGGTAACAGTCAGATATTAAACGAGTTAATTGTACAGGTAGCAAGCACCTAATCTCATTGAATAACCTTAGTTTGCGTGATTGCTGCAAGTTTTTCAGGCTTTTCTTTACTCGCTCCCTAATCAATAAATAAAAGTGCTAGAACGGAAATAATTGGACAGGAAGACTGACTATCCCATGAGACTGTTTTCTAATTCTGCAATGCCAGTTAGCAATCAGCACAATTTCATCAATACATGAATTGAATGGACCAATCCAATCAATGTGAATTCAATCGACTTTCAGTTGCTTTAACAAAGAAAGTTTCCTATATGTTACAGGAGAGACACTTCTTTTCCATTAGGCTTAGAGAATTAGTCATAGACACCTTAATAATACTCCTTTAAGCCTGATCATAGCCTCAGAAACTAGACAACATTCTAATTTATGGAGTCCAGTCAAAAATAGCTCATAAATGAGTTTTATTTCTTTATTGATAGTTTTATTTCTTTATTGATAACTTGTCAATGAAAAAAATAAATTACATTAACAATTTACATCCAATAGCATAAATATTGGCTCCAAGAAAAAAACAAAACAAGTTACAGAGCAGAAAAAGTATGCCTATCACCCGACACACATGTACCTAAATTATTTGAATACAGAAAAATGTGCATTCAGTAGATGAGAGGAGAATAGACAATTGAGCTATTAAGTCAAAGGTATAAAATCAATGCTCTAGATCGTACAATCATTGCATGACAGACAAATATAATGTCACATAGACATAGTCAATTAAAAAACCAATAATGAATTAAGTTTGTTGCGAGCTTCTCTTATTGGATGTAAATTAATAATCATTGTTTGACTTTAAGAAGACTGTTTTACAATCAATCTGTTAAGTCTACCATGGAATGAACTAAAGATTTCTATTAGGAAGAAATAAATTGTTCAAACCAGATGCTATATTTTGAATCCTTTAATAAGGAGAAAACGGGCACGTTTCTTTATGAGAAAACAATCGTTACAAATTCAAAGCACCTTTTGTCTGTTTTGATAAATTTAAATAAGCCTACTGAAAATGTACGCAAAACAGATGATGAAGCAAGTTAAAGATTAAGAAAAGAGGCAGATTGTTTTTTTAAAAGTCACTTACCTTGCTCTGAAGAAGCACCCGTAAATCAACTTTAGGTCCTTCACCTCTTTGTCGTTTGGGTTGTCCACCATCACAACAGTCATCATCATCATCATCTTCCAAGGGTCTTTTTCTACCTGAAGAACAATCCAATTTACAAAATAAAATATCAGGTAATATACATCTGAATAATCTCCAAATACTAAGATACATAATGTCAAATTTTTTATAACTAGCATAGATTTTGTTACTTATTGGAAATCAACATTTTACTCTCAGAACCGTCTCCATTATTTTATCAATTAGAAAGATTTCAAGACGTTTGATGAGTATCTTTATAAAGCATGCTGTAATAAAACCAGTGTTGACATTTAACTAATTAATTTCCGCAAGAAATTGGCACACGCAAGAAAATATCAAACCCAAACAATGGGCCGTCAGCCAGTATGATGCGCTTGATAGAGTCGTGTGATTTTCACAGCAGGTAAAATGAGCCTAATGTCCGTAGTGTTTCTAAATACACAAAGTCTCACCTTAAAAGTCAAGGTGAGCGACCACTATAACAAGCAACATTATTTTGAGATAATGAATACTAATCTAGCTTTACATCACCTAACCTTTATTTCTAATATATTAATTTACCGAGATTGCAGATGGCAAGCAGAGAGACACGCACACAAATACATCGACCCTTTCATTACATTCCAATCAGCAAAGGATAATAAAAAGGGCGTGGTCACACCTGACCTGTCATGAGGGCTAATGATGATGTTTGACAGGTGGGAAGTTGAAAAGAATTCTATTCTCCATTGTTTCTTTATTCTTCTGACTGGACATCAGGAAATCTTAAAGGATTTACTTCTATTATTTCAAGCTCTCGAGTCAAGATACCAAGAATCTAAAACAATGACTTAAGTAACCAGAGAGCAGTGGTGTTAATGATAATTTAATCCATCAATGAATGGTGTTTGAGCCAATTTTATCCATGGAAAAACATGACCGGATATATTTTTTTCTCTTCCTGCAATCAGGTTTATTAATCCTATTCTATACAAAAGCTGTTGAAAATCGGATTTCTTTCAACTTCTAAACAATAAAAAAAATATTCTATACCCAGTAAACAGATTATTTCTTTAAGAATTTCCATAAGCATAAAATACTGTTTCTAATCAAACATGATTTTCTTTCTATAGAAATAGTTGAAATAATTGGGATAAAAACAATGAAAGGTATAATCTGATAATAATATAACATTAACAATCATTAAGGCCGGATAACCACAAGCTAGACTTTACTTCATTAGCAACAATATTTGGTCTATAAAATCTATAAAAGAAATTGCGGCCAATTAGCAAGAAAAGGGGACATAAACATTTAATTAATGTATATTTATGGTTTTCACAAATATCCTTTAACTACTTAATTAAACTAAATGAAACCAGAAATGTCTAAATTTAACAACTTATTGAATTCTAAAAAAACAATCTGTTTTGATCAGAAAGGTCAAACACAAAGGATATTCTTCAATAAAAGGTTCCCTAGAATTTCATGTTTTTCAGAGATGTATTTCCATAAAATTATATTTAGTTACAATCCATGTCAGAAGGCTTGCATTTATCATCACTTCCAAGTATAGCTGTCATTTATATTTAAAGAGCAAATCAATGACAGGCACAGTAAAAAAAAGTCAATTGTAACAACAGTAACTATAAAAATCATACAAATATTTTATTAATATCTGATATCTACTATTGCGAAATACGCCTAAAAGGTATGATTCATGTAGTTGATTTAAGCTGGAATTTATCGAAATTAACAGATGGAACGGGTAGAAGGATAATGGAAGAATTCTACCTGTCTGACAGGTTTACCATCATCCATAATGCATTCTACTAGCAGGTACAACCAAATATCAATACTTGTTTCTATGACAACTAATATCAATCACAACTAAGGTTGGAGGACATATCATGTTTGGTTAATCAGATCCAAATAAATTCTTCCCATTGATCATAATTAGGATCCGATTGTTTAAGAAATTTGGAAACAAATCAACAGTTAATTTACTTGTTTGATCAGGAAGCAAAAAACTTTGGATCAAGCTAGGCAGCCATCAGAGAACCACCCTTATTTTACAGTCCCTGTGCTTTACAGATGACTGGATAAGTCACTATGTATCACTTGGTTAATGACTGTTTAACGTCATAAAACAACAGAACATTATACAATGCTCTTGTGATCAGCCAAAATAGCTAGTCAATCAATTCCAAATGCAATACAATTAACAATGATTTAAAATAATATCAAAATTAAATATATTTGTATAAATTCAATCTTAACAATACAGAAGTAACTATTACTCTTGATTTTTAGTGTTTTTCTAGGACAGTATAAACTTTTCAATAACTTAGAAATTTAAAAATCATATTCTTTAGTCAGCCTTGAGGCAGAAGCACTTTACTTTGCTTTGTCACCAGTATTAAATTGGGAGATGGCTTATGGTAACTCTAGGTTGACTCCACCTTAGAAGTAGTCAAACAATAACTTGGTTCATTACTTAGTAGAAATCCGTATTTTATTCCTTAGTCGATCGAAAGTGTTTCATTCTCTGTTTAAACAATCTTTTGTTATTTCTACTATTGTTTCTTACTTTGGGACAATATGTCCGATTTTGGGACCTTAACGACCAATATGAATGAGTCGTCTGTCAGGTAACAAAGACTCCTGATCGTCAACAATGCATCAAATGCTTTACTAGAAGAGAACAAAAGCCAAAATCCATAAAACATTAATAGTTAATATATCAGCCTGTGTCAATTGAGTCAAGATAAAAGGGGACTGAGTGCACAACTAACTTTTATTTCTTTTTTTTGTCTTCTTTATTGTGTTTTAATCGATTGGTTTTAAACACAGATTAAACACTACTGTTGATTCTCATCTCTAATTATAATCGAAGTTAATACAACATTATGACGCTAAACAAGTTTTTTCTTCAATATTTTTAACTTTTTGTGGAAATATCTTGATAATATCTGAGATTAAATTCACTGTACAATAATACATTAATATTTTAACTTTTTTTGTGGAAACATCTTGATAGTACTTGTGATTAAATTCACTGTACAATAATACATTTAATACATCAATTAGTAATACATAATAAAAATGCTATTGATATTTCTGATATGATAATGTTATCATGAAATATGTTTGCCTCAACCTAATGTATTTGCTTGTCTAAATTCCCTTCTGGGCAAACCAATTCCATTTCCTTTGTCATTTCATAATCCAATTAATTTCTTACCACACGATAATAATAATTATCTGAAAACATCATTTATATGACTAAAATTCCAGGTATAATTTCTTATAACAATTTGATAAATGGATTAATGAACAAAGGCAAGTCCAAAGAGAACAAGTCTGTTTAAATATCATAACCATTCATTCCACTTTTCAAATAATCTCCACCACAAATCTACTTGGAAAATAAATGGCAGACATTTAAAATACACTTACAAAATCAAATATTTTCAGATTTAAAACAAACTAGAATGTCACACGAAGTCCGAATTCTACATGATTCAAGATCTGATAAGTGTCCATGCAATTGTGCATCAAGATGCATTTTACAGACTGTATTTAAAAAAAAAAAAAGTACATTCAGTGTACTCAAATATTTATGCTGTGATGCAAGTTTTCAAAACAAAGATCTTGGAATATCATGCACTAAAAGTTCTGTATTAATGTTAAAATTTCGACATATGGGAAAACCTTCAACATAATGGCAAAGTCTTTACACATAATTTAGCTTAAAAAAATTTCAGAACCTACTAGAAATTTAATATTACCAGATGAAATCAAAATAAACCTGGAGATTGACAAGTATTATGTCCCTTTAATCCTTTGGATCTAGATATCACAAAGTATCTTTCAACTGGGTGATAAAAATGTCAACTGACTTGAAATATTTCTAAAGAACTTGATTTATAGTTAGTTCATAAATAAAATACATTGTCCACTGCAGTAAAATAAATATAATATAGAGCATTAAGACCAAGCAATCCCATTTAACCATAATACTATAGACCTTCAATACAAAACAAAGTCTACCGGTATATATCTTGAAGAAATAATTACTATGACTATACCTGCAACTGGTTGACTGATCACTGAGAGCACCATATCTAATTTTAAATGAGTATGACCATACTTTTTACACACGCACAAAGAGCAACAGGTGAAGAATGACCACTGCTAATTACCAAGTATGTAATCAGGGTGTATCTGTACATGCTAATTAAGGTGTTATTTACAGGTTGACTAATTATTTATTAGCAGGTTTTATTTCAGCACTAGTTAATCAGCCTGGTTAATAAGACCCAGGTGAGGTCTTCTACAATGTCACCTGACAATATAACTTGTAACTCAGACAACAAACCAATCAATATGTGAGAACAATGATAGAATGAGAATATCAAAAATTGGTGCAACAATCAATACGCACAATCTCTTATAAAAATCCTTTTATATTGTAACATAATTACACAATTTACGCTCCATAGCGTTTAGTTCTAATAAATTAACTGTAGTTTTATAATATTTTAACTATATCTCAGCACTGGTGAATTAAGCCAATTTGTATATGAAACCATCATTCAAATAATCATTTTAAAACTTCCTATTAAATTCCTAAAATCTTTACCATATTTTGTTTATTTTAGAAGGAAACAGTTATAAAATAGTCTTTAAGGAAGTTAGTTAAAGACAAAATTAACTTGTGCAAATTTAATTCAATTATTATAAGAACTTGTTAATATTTCTATTAATGACCACCTACTCAAAGGTAAGTGACCAAAAACATCCATGAATGAAATGTGACCATTAAGCTTAGGATAAGGCTAATTGCTACTATATCATATAACATGAACAATGGGGAGAACTCTTTAGGGCCTCTTAACCCTTATGACATATGCTGCCATATGGTTTCCCCAAGGCATCTCACCTTCCTAAACAATGTGGATGACTTAAATATTAATTTTTATTAAGAATTACAAAGAGGTTTGGTACTGAATTTTTAATATGGATATTAATAAATATTAAATCATAAAAGGACTTTTTTTATATCTTTTAAAAC